CTGAATTTATTACATACATTTATATACGATTTTTTTGTTGTTATAATAATAGAGAAAACGTGGGATTACAAAACATTACTCAACCGTAACAAAAAGAACGCGTATTGAGTCAGTGAAGAGATATAAACATAAGCCATGCCTCCAAATTTCTTTCCCTTGTTTTTTGTTGATTTGATGTGGACGTTTACATAGTTACATGCAATGACGTTTATTTTGAAAGTATTATTGGAAAATAACCTGTTTTTTTTTTCTATGGGTTTTGTCCTGTGAAATAATATTCAACTTGGTTCTGCTCCTTGGTTTCAATGAGTAATTATGTTTTTCATCTAAAGAATATATGAATAATCATAATACATTGTTACTAATATTTTACCTTGTCAAGTTGTTAATATTTTTCCCTTCTCTGCTCGTCAATCTTATTTAACAGCATACTAGATTTTTATTAATTCATCGAATAAACTAAAATGAAGTATTTAATATTTTGAAATACTTATTGATTTAAAAAGATAATCACAAACTAAAAGAACTGTTTAAACAATAATACTCAGTTATAAAAATGTATATAATGAATATTATTCATTCGATATAATGATTTAAAATGCAAAAAAATAAATGAAATTTTTCATTTTTATGTTTAAATATATTCGAATAGAATAAATATTAAGTCAAAGGTATGAATAGTGAAAAACAAAACATTATCTCATACTAATAGAAAAAGAAGGTTCCACATAAAAATGACGATATATCAGATTTCAATTATCTAAATAAAAATATTCGAAATATCTAGACTAATTTAACATGAATAATCTTTATAGATTTTGAAAAACTAATGTTACAATAATCACAATATATTTTTAACAGTTTATAAATTAAAACTAAACATATACATGTTTTTATTTGAGCCGAAGAAAAACGATAGAAATGTTTATTAATGAATCAGAAAAATTACTCATTCTATTTCGTCAAAGTAAGCGCATAACAAAAAATAGGTTTCAAACCTGTATTATAAACAAGTTGAAATATCTGCTGACATTTAACTTATAAATCTACGATCGAAATATGAAACACGATAGAAATGTTCATGATATCAACTACAGGGTGTCCAGAAAATCATTGACCAAAAGTTTTTTCATATATCTTTCATGTTTCATTTAATATTATCAACAAATTTTTTTAAAATCATAGACGAATATACCGTGTTTTTATTTATACGAGCGACTTTCGATACTATTCTGCAAAACTATTATCTTTGATCGAAATACAAAAATTTTGCTATTTTGGTGAGAGCGAGTAGAACATTATGCAGTGTCTCTGTTTTTTTTAATTATTTAGTCTTTCTGTAGTAGTTCTCTGTAAGTGTTGCTTCAAAGAAAAGGTGTAACAAATTTTCGATGTACATAATCTTGTAGAACTCCACAAACTCTATCTAACCACATGAAAATATGAAAGAAAAAAGCATCATCAAATATTGAACTAGTCGCATCTCACAAAAATAGGAAAATATTTGTATTTCGATAAAAGGTAATAGTTTTCGAGGATAGTATCGAAAGTCGCTCGTTCAAGTAAAATGTGGGTATATGCGTCTATAATTTTAAAAAAAATTTATTCAAAATATTAAATCAAACAGCAAAGATATATGAAAAAACTTTTCGTCAATGATTTTTCCGACACCCTATAGATGAAAGACACAGTAAAATTTATATGCAACTATTTTTGATCCTCTAGGGTATTTTCAAGGTAGCGAAATTTTTTAACAGGCATCATGGACTCATACAACTATTATACAATCGGAAAAAACAACATTCCTTGTGTAACATTAGAAAATCCAGTGTGCGAATAATTTTTGTCGCGGCAGCATTATCAATGGAGAAATATATTTTATTACGCTTTCCGCCTTTTTTAAGTTCAGAAGCAAGAAGATTATGCTAGATCAACTCTATATTATTTCAGCAAGATGGAAAGTGTGGGTATGAGTGAGAATAGAATATACCATACATCCACATCCAAAACGTTTTCCTGCCGTCATGTTCATTATTGCGGGGAAGGGGAAGAGGAGTGGAAGAAAGACAAGATACACTCGTATAAAACTTAATTGTTATCTCTAAAAACTTGAACTTGCACTGCTCATGGAGATATTTTATTGTAGATTTTTAGGTGATGCATTACTTTACATCGTTCTAAATAATTTAATGAGTTTTGATCACTGGCAAGGATAAACTTTTAAAGCATGTATTCTTATTCAAATTCTATTTTTATAAACGACATCCTTTTCTTTGAAATCAGAAATTTGATCTACATAAATATTGATTTCTCCAAAGAATGCCTTTGTTGTGATCATAACAAATCAATGATTCATCGGTTGCTTAATATATTTTATATGCTTCTAAGATATGGGAAAAAAATTCGCTGCAATTTTCCTATTGATATAAATAGAATAATTTCTGAGAACTTTTTCCCATTTATTATATCATAAGATGCAGCTTGAAAAGCTCTACAACTTACATAGGGCTACTTATTTTATGCTTGCACTTTTTCTTTTCGAAATAGACAAAATTTTGAGCATGCAAATATCGACCATGCGAAAAGGATATTATTTTGGTACATGACGAGTTCCTTTTTTCTTATTTGATCTTTCATCATCTGATATGTTTTACTGAAAAAAAAAATACCACAAGAGACACTGTGAAAAAGTCTACAATTTACATAAGACAGCTTTTCTTACTGTTGCACTTTTGGTTTTCAAAAGCCACCGAACACGAAGAAACCAAATTTCGACACTGCAAAAAAGACTTTTTGATACATGACGGGTTTATCTTTTTTGGTGCAACTGTAAGAAGAGCTGTCTTATGTAAATTATAGAGTTTTCCACGCTGTATCGTTTTGTACGTTTTGGTATTTTTCAGTAAAACATATCAGATGATGAAAGATGAAATAAGGAAAAACGAACTTGCCATCTACCAAAAAAATATGGTTCTCGCATCGACGAAATTTGCTTGCTCAAAATTTTGTTTGTTTTCAAACGAAAAAGGTGCAACCCTAAAATAAGTGATCTTATGTAAATTGTAGAGCTTTGCACGCTGCATCTTATGACATAATATATCGAAAAAAGTTCTCAGAAATTATTCTATTTATATCGATAGGAAAATTCCACCGAACTTTTTTTCCATATATTATTAGTTGATTTGGTACCTTTGATACGAATTTCCATATCCACCACCAAAACCACCAGCAGAACCGCCACTAGCTCCAATTCCTTCAAAACCTCCAAGTACAAAAGTACCTCCAACTCCAGGATAACCTCCAATAACTTGACCATATGTTGGATTTGGATTTCCACCCATCATATTATCATAATATTCACCCAATGGACCTAAATTATAAGCAATAATTAAGGAATGTTTAATTTTTTTAATTAATATTGTTTACAAATTTATCATTATTGATTTGCGTAAAACATAAATTACTTTTCTGATTTATGATAAAAATTCAAAATTGATTAGAGAAATTGGTAAAATCTTTATCAACATAAGACTTCAAAAATTATACACGCAGCAATAAAAAGTGTTGATCTATTCACTGATTATCAAAATTATATAACTAAATGTACTCGGAATTATTTTTGCTTTTGAACTTTAAAAAAAAGAATTCAATCGCTGATTCGAACATACAACAACGTAAATTATAAGAATATAAGAAAATAAAATGATAATCAGATTCCTAAATTCGAGTTTTCCAAACAAAAACAAACCGTCACTTTTCAATGCGCAAAAGACATCAGTTGATTTTTGTTCAGAATAAACAAAATAATAGGGAAAACAATTTTTCACAAAAACAAGACATTTTCAAGCTCTATACAACTCTTTTTTTTGCTGACATACTACAATCAGATTGAAAATCTCAAATCAACTTCATCATCGAAAATAGTAGAAAAAAAGTCGTCGTAAAAATCTTGAATATGTCTCATTTTAAAACAGAATTGTTTACTTTATCGTTTCGTAAAATCTTCATAAAACTATATATGTGTATTCTACATTCGGAAAAAGTGTTGATTAAGCTTTATGAAACCCTACCTTTTGGGATCTGATAATAATATTATTTTTATATATTCATATTGTGTATATATTTCTCTATTCGAATTACTATTGGAATTCTTATTTGCGACTAAGACAGGGGAAAAATTAAAAATAATCCTTCTTAAAAAGTTTTGCTAGTCCCGGTACACATATATATATAAATATATAATATAAGTGAAAAATAAATCGTTTCCTAATAATATTAGTGATAACAATTTACGATGCTTACTGTTTAATCCACCAGGAATATTTTTTTCAATCCATAAATCAGATTGCAATTCTCGCATGATAGCCGGATTGCCGCCTGCCATAGAACCACCTCCCATACCACCGCCGACCATACCACCACGTCCCATACCAC